CGAAGATGCCGATAGCATGTACTTTGTCAATGAAAAATCCCAAACTTCATTTTTATGATAAGTAACCTTTGTAAGGCAATTAATTTATCTCATGTTGTGCATAGCAGTTGCATTTAGTTCTTTTTTGTTTCCTTATGTCTGTACAAGCTCTTGGTGTACTCTTGGTAACCAAAAGGGAAGTGTTCACATTTTCTTATTAATATAACATTCCCTTCTTACAATAAATATTTGCAGAGAGATACTGGAAGGCCGACATTGCAAACCACATTTTGAAAATACGAAATCTCTGGCTGATATACTGATCCTTTGGTATTAATACTTTCTGTCACTGAGCTAAAGCAAGAAAATAAATCGGGAAACCTTGGAAGGTACAGAATCTTGATTTGATTTCTAAGCAGCCAGAACATTAGATATCTGTGGATGGATGTATACAGATTTTGCTTTTGGTTAAAGAGCTTTTTTGTAATACCGGTCCAATTTCTAGTTTGATCCAAAAAACACAATTTCTAGTTTGATCTAAAGAAACAAAACCATAGACCAACAACTATATGTTACTATAAAGGAAATATTGCAAATGATCTTGTGTAATAAAGGAAACCCAATATTTATTCAGTAAAATAAAAGGACTAAATCCAATTACAGCAGACAAAAATGCAATCAACTGCTTTCTATTTATTTAACTATCGCAGCACATCTCTGTAACAGATGACCCATGTACATGTATAGTGAGTTGTCCAACGGAAGAATACATTGCCTGCTTAATCCAGATTTTCAGTTGATCCTTTTATATTTTCAATTCCACTAAGCCTTGATTTTTAAGCAGCCTGAACATTAATTGCTGCAATGCTCATATTAAAAGAGCATTGTTTTATCCCCTTGGAAACTTCTAGGAATGATTAAACTTCACTGTTCAATCAATTAAAAATTGTAAAAGGGCAGCCCAGTGATATGTACATGCAATAGCTGTGTGCTTTCACTGAGAAAGATTCAAGACAAATTACCTTCTAGAGAAGAACAAAAAGATTGGTTTGTCTACTGTTTGCATAATAGTGGAAACAAAAATACAATAACCATATTCATTAGATTCCATGATTGTATAAATAACCGATATATGTAATAAAAGTTTAGGCCTTCCTCATTGTTTACTACATAGCCTGTACTACACAACTTTTTTGTTTGTGTGGCTTTATTGTTACCTACAAATGCTAAACTTCTGGCAGAAATATTAAACAACACAATCTGGTTATGCATTCATAGAATGTTTTTAGATAGGACTTTTTAGCTAGAAATAGAATAAATACTCAAATCTGTCCTGACGTGAGCGTTTTGCAATCTTCTCCACAACTGCAATTTAGAGGCAAGAACTGTTAGAACAGCTAGGATCCAAAAATTTCTCTATTGCTTTACATTGGAGCTATCCGTCAACAGTTTCACCAAATTTACAGGAGTACAGGAGTACAGCAGAGTGATAACCTCAGTGTGCTACTTCTCATTCATTGTGCAATCACAAGCTGAGGGCAGGTTGATGACCAAGTTCTATTGCTTAAAGTGACACTAAACTCAGGAGTTAAAGGATAATTAAAGGCTCTGGCGTTTTTGCATATATCTACTTCTAGTGAGCAGTAGATATATGCAAAAAGTGTAAAAAAAAAAAAAAAAAAACAGCTTTGAAAAGGGTTAATACTTATCTGTGTCTTCCCCGCACGTTCCGGTCCAAAAATGTGAAAAGTCTCGGGCAGCCGCAAAGCATCTTGGGCGCATTGCGCAGATCACATTTTCGGCCGGGACGCGAGGAGAGACACAAGGTAAGTCTACGGACACGTGCACCCGCATGCAGACACCATGGGACAGGAAGTGCCAGAAAGCTCAGAGGAGTCAGCACTGGATCGGAGACCCGCCGCAGCGCTGGAGGGACAGATGAAAAGGACAAGAAAGAAAAAGATCGGATTAAGAAACATAATTTAACCGCTTGAAGACCAGGTGTTTAGACCCCCTTCCTGGCCAGGCCATTTTTCAGTGTTCAGCGCTGCAGTACTTTGACTGACATTTATTCCGTCATGCAACGCTGTACTGAAATTAATTTTATACCATTTTTTGGGGATAGATAGAGCTTTCTTTTGGTGATATTTAATCACCACTGCAAGTTTTATTTCCCTGACTGCTCCATGTCGGCATACGAGTGGGTACAGGCTCCGCCCCCCCCCATCTGATAGGACTAATAGCTCATAAATTTGAGCCTCCCCCCAGCCAATGTGTTCCTTCTTTTTCCTCCTATTGGAGTCTGATAGGAGAGGTAGTTAAGGTAAGTGCTGACATTAACATTGGGGGAGGGAAAAACATTTTTGACTTTAATGTCACTTTAATTCTTAAAAATTAATTCATGTACCTTAACTAATAACAACAATGTAACTCATTTGTGTATCATTCAGGTGTAAATCCTCAAATCATCTCTGAATCTGTGCTGACAATGTTCTTCCTTCTGGAGGGTGGCTACTTTTGTTCCCCATGGTCCCTGGTTGTGTTTTAAAGTAGCCATCACTCCAAGCTCTATCCTGTGATGGACTACAATCTCACGTTTAGTTTACTAATTTCTACTGAGATTGTAGTACATCACAGCAGTGAGCTTGGAGTGGTGGCTACTTTACAACACACACAGGGACCATGGGGAACAAAAGTAGCCACACTCCAGAAGGAGGGACAGTGTCAGCACCAATTCAGAGATGATTTGAGGCTCTACAGCCGAGTGATGCACAAATAAAATACAGTATTGTTAATAGTTAAGGTACTTGGATGCATTTTTAAGATTTAACTCTTGATTTTAGTGTCACTTTAACTGCATTAGAGAAAAGTCACCAATTTAGTTATGCAGCCTGCAGCTGTGTCCAAATCATTAGACTAGCTAAACAGAATTACAAATCATCTGGTATTTAGAATCTATGTATTACAACTGATTATTTACCAGTTTGTTTAGAGTTCAGCTTTCACAACTTCTTTATTGGTTGCTGACTGTTGTATCATCACAAGAAGAAAAGAAGGAAAGAAAGCAGAAACAAGAAGAAAGATCTGATAAATTATATCAGATTCAAGAACTTCCTACAACAACCATTGATGGACAGTACACATGGATGTAGCTAATTACTTTTTCTAGTACATTACAACATGGTCTACTGTAGTTATCGCAGCAGACAGGATACGTATTCCTGACTTCCCCTCCCACTTCTATGGATTTCAATAGCTTCACTGAGTTTCCTAGATAAACATTGTAAATACTCATGGCAGATTTATTAAATAACCTTTGCTGCTAAGGCTGGTAATCTATAAAAAAAGGCAAGTACCATTTCTTTGGGTTGAAAGTATTGAAAATCCATAGAGCACATTACAAATAATTTGCACTCTATTTTTGTATTCTGAGAACACCAAGCACTTCCATTCTTTAATGGCAATGGGCTACCATTAGCAGCTTTATAGCTCAGAATTATTGACAAGTTGTTCATACAGTGAGGAGCACTCAAAGGATATATGGATAAGAGAAGATTTGATGTCTCTATCAATAATAATATAAGTAAACTGTGCTTCAGAGAGTGCAAAAAAAACAAGTTATCCTTTCTGTGATTAGTTCGCACTTTTATGTGTAGCTCCTAAATATAACTGTATAGAGATAAAGGCTTCATATCAGGCTTTAATAGAGAGACTGTGGGGAAATGTATCAAACCTGAGCAGAAAAAAACTGGAGCAGCTGTGCATGGCAACCAATCACCTTCTCTTCTCAGTCTGCTTAGTTAAGATTTCAAAATGAAAAAGAGAAGCTGATTGTTTGAAATGCACAGCTGCTCCAGATTTTGCCTGCTTCAGTTTTCATAACCCCCCTATGTGTTTAGGACTACAATGAAAATTGAAGCTAATACATTATAGATTGTTGTTCAGCTTATGTACAGATGGCAGTTTTCTATTTCTAAATGTTAAAGTAGAACTGAAGCCAAAACTTTTTTTTTTAGTTCTGGATAGAGTAAGGGGTGGTGGTGGTGGGGGAAGGAAGATAGGGGTTATAACCCCATCAGCTTTTGCCATCTGTGTGCTAGGAGGGAGATTTCCTTTCACTTGCTGTCTGATAGACACAACAGGACATAAGAGGAAATCCCTGGGGGTCAGTAGTGTCACCAGAACTAGTGGAAGATTTCCTGTCTATTCCTGTTCTGATCACCACACAAAATTTGGGATTTTCTTTCACTTTCAGTGATAAGGGTCACCAGGACAAATAGAGAGAGTAAATCTCCCTAAAGGGGACACAGGCATAGTCAGGTTGAAAAAAGATGCATGTCCATCGAGTTCAACCTATGACAATAAAAACCTAACAGGTGTTCTATTCCCTCTACACTCTATTCAAAAACTTTTGGCTTCAGTTGTACTTTCAACCTTTCTTCTGCCTCCCATCCTTTGCAGCATCCAGTCAGTATATAACAGTAATTGCTGATCACAATTACTCTATCCAAAACTAAAAAAAAAAATTGGCTTCAGTTCTACTTTACTGGATATGCATTGCATCATGGGCACTCTGCGGAATTTCCTGATGCTGTGTTTGCAGAGGGAGGTGAAAATTGTGCTAAGCTTTTGGCATGAATCTCCAAAAGTCTGTGATTTTCCATCTTCAGCTTCTTAGCCCGATCTAAATAAAATCCCACTTTGGACAAATTGATTCACTTATTGCTAACGGTTAAATGTGAATATTGAGCTGTTTATCTATCATCTGGATTTGCAATCATGAGTTATCTGTATTCTGGAAGTATTTTTCAACACATCTCAACAACAGTAATGAAATGAAATCAATTATGGCACTGCTATTCTTCAACAGGAATTCAAGATAAAAGGTAACTTTTTTAGGGCATTGCTTAGGAACAATTACGATTTCAAGATGTTACTTGTAACATAGCAAATCTTTACTTTTGGTGTTCAGGTCCAATTTAAATTCAGATTAAAAAATTAATTAGAACAATAAACCTTACCATCAATGCCAGGCAGCACTGTCCTTCTCATAGCCAATACCAGTCCCAATGGGGAACCAAACAGGAAGAAGTCTGACACCTCGAAGTCAAAACGTCCCATTATGACATCACAAAGGTTGGAGCTCCCAGTTCGTGGAAAGTCTATGTCATCCTTCAGAATACTTGAATGAATACTGCAGATGAAAGAGGATTAATATTATTATTATTATTATTATTTTATAGGAATTATATAGCGCCAACCGCTTGCACAATGCTTTACATTATAAGGAAGACATTACAATCACAATACAATTCAAGGCAAGATGGTAAGGAGGGCCCTGCACAAGTCAGAGTGAGAGATAGTCGGACAGGTTGGGGTAAAGAGTTCTATGGCATGGGAGAGACTCTAGGGAAGTCCTGGAGGCGAGCATGGGAGGAGTTGACGAGGGAGGTGGAAAGCAGAAGGTCTTTTGAAGAGCGGAGGGGACGGTTAGGGTGATACTTTGAGACCAGGTTTGAGATATAGCCAGGGGCAGAGTTGTGGATGGCTTTATAAGTGGTTGTTAATATTTTGAATTGTATCCTTTGGGCTATTGGAAGCCAGTGCAGGGATTGACAAAGGGGTGTTGCAGACACTGAGCGGTTGGTTAGGTGAATGAGTCTAGCAGCAGCATTCATGATAGACTGAAGGGGGGGATAGCCGTTGTAGGGTAGGCCAATGAGGAGGGAGTTGCAATAGTCAAAAGGAGGTATAACAAGTGAGTGGATGAGTAATTTTGAGGTTTCATTGGTGAGGAAGTGGCGTATTTTGGAGATGTTACGAAGGTAAAGGTGGCAGGATTTGGATTGTGATTGGATATGGGGAAGAAAGGTGAGGTCTGAGTTAAGGATGACACCTAGGAACTTGGCATGGGGGTAGGGTTGGATAGTTGTGTTAACAATCTCAAGGGAAAAGTTGGGGGAAGGTGCACGGGCAGGAGGAAATATCATAAACTCAGTTATTGAAAGTTTGGAGTTTTAAGAGGTGTTGCGACATCCAGGCAGATACGTCAGTTAGTAGATTAGTAACACGCAAGGACACTGAGGGGGTGAGTTGTGGAGTAGAAAGATAGATTTGAGTGTCATCAGCATAGAGGAAACACAAGAAGGTTCATATGAGGTCGTGTTATTGAAGGAAATGCTCATAATCAAGCTATGTCTGATACCATAATGAATATTGAATAAACATTTTGTTAAACTGAAATGAAATAATGTATGGAGAAATGTAGGATGCCTGAAACCTCAACAACTGTGTATCTTTACTCCAATTGTGAATTTGTCACATTTTAATTCACATTTTAATTCATATGCATTTTAATTTATTTTAGTCAGTTATATATGAAATGCACTTAAAGCATTTATGTACACTTGATGAGTTATTTTACTACTATGCTCTGGATAGCCTTAAATATGATCTCCTGCTCTTTGGCTCTATTAACAAAATACAAGCAAGTCAAAAGAGGGTCACAAACTCCTCTATATATCTAGATCATATGGAGTAGATTAGGGTTGCACAGATACCAAGTACAGTACAAGTACGAGCACATATACCAATACTTTTGAGCTCCAAGACTACACTAGAGAAAAATTCAAAAATTAGGAGGCAGCTGTCATTTGTAAGGAGCACACGGAGCTACTGGAATTTGTACATCTCTGTTTTAATGTACAATTTTGTTTTTATAAATATAAATAAAGGGATGCACAGATACCAGTTTTGCGAGTACGAGTACTGGTACTTGCCGAGTACTTACAAGTACTGATACATTTTTGTTTATGGTCATGTGACAGTTTTTCTAAAACAATACAGACTAATGATTTCAGGACAGTGGTGGAGTGCCAGAGCCAGGTCCCAGGTGCAACCACTGCAACCCTGGTAGTTCTCATGAAAATGCCAAGATTCTGCACTGGTACTCGAAAAGTATCTGTGCATCCCTAGAGTAGATACTACAGGCATTTCTTATTATAAAACAGCCTTGGTAACCAATGTGTTTTACACACAATAATGAAAATAATAAAATAGATCAATTCATACAGTTAAAACCTCCAATAAGATTGAGCCACTGATAAGTAGCAAACGCTGAAACTGTTTGAAATAAAGTTCAGTCAATTTACCCTAAATTCTGTTTTGTGAAAGGCAGCCAGACTCTAGGACGTATCTCTCAAGGTCACAGGGAGTATACTGCCTAAAGCCTTTTGTTTTATCATTTCCCCTTTCTGTCTGATTCCTGTGTCACCAATTACAATTAGAATTCCAAAGGTAGGCTTAACTTTGGTTGGTGGCTGCAAAAAAAGTTGTAGTACTGCCAGTTTTTTTTACATTACCATTTCTGAATGTGCAGGTTTTCTCTAATGATGTAATACTTGTCTAGCTCAGACAACAAATATAACAAATATAAGTATAAAAATAGGAATGTGTGCATTTAGTTTTCTGCGAAAGGAGGGGGGGGGGGGGTAGGATCATTTAGATCAGGGGAAGTGGGAAAAAGAATTAGTGCATTTTGTTTTAAAGTGTACTTATCCTTTAAGCCCAATTGGAAACATTCAAATAGCCCTGGTAGTCTGAACCTGACTATATAGAGGTGAATATTCTAGTGTTTTTTTAGAGAAGCAATGGAAAAAAATATTATTTGAGTATTTCCCACTGTGGGCAATGAGTGGCGCTTTATCATTTCCTCCCCAAAGCTCACTGTCTTTGTGTCTCATTCCAATCAACTGGCTGGCAATAACAAGACTGGGAGTCATAGCCACGCAAGACACACCAAGTTTGCTGGTGCAGAGCCTGAAAGAGAAAGTTTGCCAACTCTGCAACAGTACACCTGGATCCAATGACTAGAAGAATAGAGCAAATAGTACCCAGTAATCATTGGAATTCTTTGTTTATGGACCAAGAGTGGATGAATTAAAAGTGTGCAGTACACTTTCCCACTAACCAAAATGTGCAAACTGCCTGCCGTGGATATGTTGAGCATGCAACATGATCATGATGTGTGAAGGCTGTATGCTGCTCTTGGCAGTTCTGCTGTCTTAGGCTATTATGCCACCAAATTAGTTTTTGCTGTAGCAGAAGGCTTCATTCACACTGACTATTCTGGGTTTAGCTTTTCTAAACACAGAAATAGTTAGTTGGGAAGTATGGTATATACAATTTTTATGCTTCAAAGATACATTTTTCCTGGGTATAGATGTTCCTGCTTCAAAGTGGGTTTTGGCACATTTAGGTACATTGACAAACATTTACACAAGTTTACATGCGTTTCAGCTGTGCTCAGAAGTTTGATTCAGATCCTAAATGCACCAGGCTTCTTTTTTTCCTCAACACAGGTAAACTGCGGCTGAATGCATGTAAATGCAACAAGTGAAGAAATCATTAGATGCATATATGTGTTTAGAAAAACTATACCTACACTTGTTTTAAATTTATTTAGAAGCTTCCTGTTTTGGTGTGGGGTGTATTTTGGGTTCTTACCATTTTCTTTGGGTTTGTATTTTTTGTGTGCATTTTATAATTATTTGTTTACTGTAACTTTACGCCTTTTTTTTTTTCTTTCTCTTCTCTTGCATACAGGTGTAGCAGTATTATCATGGTATGTTACCTAGACAGGAAAGCATGGTGTTGCGTTATTGTATCACAGTCATAAGTGGATGAATCACTCTGTTTCCTTAGTAAAGGTGGCCTTGGTTCCCCATTGTCCAAAACTCCTGAGATGTCAATATTGCTTTTGCTGAGCCGCTTAGTTCCTCGCAGGTTAGCATTGCCTTCATCGGAGAGAATAGGATTATCCTGGTTGACAGGAATAAAAAAAAAAACTATGGTAAGCAGAGGACCTCTTGTAAGAGGAGGTATTCATTATTTTGACATTTAATATATACTGCTGATTATGCCAATATTGAGACTAATGGTACCCAAGCATGAGGGGAAATCTTCCAATGGGGACTCCAGTTCCAGTGACAACTAAGAGGGGAATTCCCTTCACTTGGTAGAGATTTCCTCCCACTTCTTGTTGCACCTCAGGGACAAGAAATGAAGGGAACTCTCCAACGGATGTATACAGAAAAAATAAAATGTTGAATTGTAATCCTTCTCTACAGTATCCAAAACTAAACTAAAACGTTTTAACCTTGTATACACTTTTTTTTAGCTTTAGCTGTTTTTTGACCTGCTCTGCGTGACCTTTGACAACCTATTCAATCAATTTAAGACACTTCAATTTAAGACACTACATGACAATAATTCAAAACTAACAATCAATAGCAATGTATGTGTTACCAGTCACTGACAGCTGTGTATATTTCAATGCAACAATTAGGGCCCATTCACACCTTTCTGTGGAAATTATGCAAATATATTCATTACATAATTTACATTTATCGCCATAGTGTTAGCTCATTCCTGCTTTAATATTTGACAGTTTGTGGGGGGTTTTTTTTTGTTTGCACACCATGAAATAGATAAAACAGATTGAAAAATTATATGTATATATTTGTACATCAGCTTTCCCAGGCTTATTACACAGCAAAATGTAAAAACAATGTTTCTAATCCAGCAATTAAGTTTTCAGTTACACACAAATGTGGATATGGAACCATTCTGTGAAATGAGGGATAACCTTGATAAATATTTTCTTTGTCATCAGCTTGGTGATATCAAGTTGTAAATTTGTTTCATTTAAGAGAATGTGTTAAATAGGAAAACAGTGTTAAGCAAAACAGCATGATGCCAGTTAATCACATGCGTCTTCAAGTTTTGAGAAAATGTGGTATCTTTTAAGAAGTGATAAACCACTAATGTTTTAAAGCAAATCTGCTGCTTCAATAAAAAATGCTGATATAAGATGTACCTGCAAAGATGGAAGTAAATACTCACCTCTTCCATTACTTGTGCTGCTGAATGCCACTCTAAGGCCCCATTCACACCTGCAAATGGGGCCAACCGCATGAATCTCATGAATTTCTCTGAGACTCCTGCAATCTGCTGCAGAAGGTGCTATAATACAATGACAGCTGCCACTGCCCACAGTTGCTCACATGTAAATACACATACCGCGTTTATCTGCAGACGATTGTACCTGGATGCAAACAGTCTGCCAAATACCAACTTAAAGTGACATTAAACCCCCCCTTTCCCCAATGCTGCTGTAAGCACTTACTTTATTTGATGCCTCCTGCTGCGATCATCTTGTTCCTTCCTTCCAGCGCTGGTGCCGGTCTCTGATCCACCGCAGACTCCTTGTGTCCCACGGTGTCTGTCCGACGTGCACACTCCCGGCTGAGTCCATTCGCTGTCATTGTGTCTTCTCCCCTCCCCTGTACGGCGCATGCACCAGCAGACTTCATCCTTCACAGCTAAAAAATAGTTTTTTTAAAGGAACAGTGATTTTTACATGATTTACAGGGTAAGAGTAAAAATGAAAAATTCCTTCAAATATCGTGCCTGGAGGGTCCCCATAACCTGCCTGTGAAGTGGCGGATCTGTAGGATGTATAGAACATGCTGCACTGCTGCAGCAAAAAGTGACATTTAAAAAGAAAAACAAATTACATTTCAATTGAAGGTAATTGGTATTCCTTTAATCTATTAAACAACTGCTTAAGGCAACAGCCTGTATGAAGAGGACACATTTTGGGACACTCAGAACAAGTTTAGTGATTTTTTTGGATAACTTATGGTGCCTCTTTTGCAGGCTTTGGATGAAAGTAACAAAAAGGTGCTTTAAAAATGGGCCTTTGGTGCCTGCTAGTGCCTTCACACCGTAACCCTCCAGAGGTATTCCAGAAGAGTGCAGGGTTGGACCCTGTGGTCAAATATTGAAATGGTATGCATCCGGTACACCGGTCAGTGCACCCAAATATTGGGCCTTTGGTGCCAGCTAGTGCCTTCACACCGTAACCCTC